AAACTAACTAACTAACTAACTAACACTAACCTAACTAACTAACTAACTAACTAACCCTAACTACTAACTAACCCTAACTAACCCTAACTAACCCTAACTAACCTCACGACAGCTATCACGCTGAAGAACAATGAGGTGCAGTCCGTGCGCTCTCGGCTGGCACCCGAGGTCTTCGTCCCACCTTTGGTGGACATTGTCAAAGCCCGGTACGCTCAGATCAAGGATCACGTACGCGAACCGGTGTGGGCAGAGGCGGGGGAAGGTGAAAACCCGGTCGACGGCGACGTCGACATGGACACCGAACCCGGGCAACTTAAAATAGTAGCCTGGCGTGAAAGCCCCCGGACGAAAGAAGTCGTTAGACGACTTATTTTAGACTTGCCATCTATCGGAATGCGCATCGTTATGTTAGCACAAGCCGCCGAAGATAGGAACGCCGCAACTCAAGCGGCTAAAAAAGTCTTGAAAGCCAAGGCAGACGTGGAGATGGGTGACGCAACCGCTGTAAACGCGGGACCATCCTCCTCCAACAAGAGCGTTAAGGCTCTTGTCGACAAGGCTGTCGCTGCTGCCTTAAAAAATGCTTCTGGCCCCGCTTCCAAGGGGCCGGTCAAGAAGGTACGGACCTCGGTCCCTCTATCGACTCAACTGACCCAACTCCATCTAGAACGCCGCCAAGTCCAAGGGCGGCAAAGGAAAGGAGAAGAAGGACAAACCCAAGGCCGAAGCCGCTGCCCAGAACGCCGGCAAGAAGAAGACCAAGGGGAAGCCGTCCGGAAAGGGAAAGAAGCATGGCAACGAGAAGTAGAAGACTGGCTCCTCACGCAACCTATCAGGTACGATCACCCATCATCTTGGCCCGATCTTATCTTAGAATTAAACCCTGATAGCGCTGTTCGGATACTGCACACTTTCGTGCCTCTTAACGTACTAGAGGCGAGTAGATATCGATCGTATGTACATGTAGGACCTGGTGTCCAAATAGATGAAACTTCTTCTTCGATTCTTCGTGAATTAAGTCTATCGTATAAATATATGTTCCCCACGCTTCAAAACTCTAAGTTATTGTTAGATGCGTATGAAGACTTCGCCGACAGGCTAAGATGGAAACTCCGCTTTATTTATAAAGCTTTCCATGGGAACTACGAAGACAGACCCTTTGACCCAGACTATCGGATTATTAAAGAGCGTGTGCCCTGTGATCCGATCCCTTACCAAGGAATAGAATCCGCCATTAGTGCCGGTCGCGACTATGTCAGGAATTGTACCCTGAGCGCTATACCGCCTAAAATCAACGAACTTGAAACCACAGTTCCACGAGGCCGAATCTACCGCTGGTTGATAGAACACAATTGCTTGGTTCTTCCAACGGATAAAAATCTAGGCGCTTGCGTCGTAACGGTTAACTGGTACAAGGATCAATGTATGCAACTATTAAGTAATAGACTAGACTATGAAATAATTGACGATGCAACTCGTCTAGCCATACTATCGAGACAACGAATTTCCATACTCGCGTTAAGCGACTTGGCGGCAAATGCTTTAGGGCACCAGCAGCTAAGTGCGTTCTTACAACAATTTATTGTTGGGGTGGAGGAAGGCGAAACTGAGGATGACGCTCATATGCGTGTTAAACTCCCAAAGTTTTACGGTATTCCAAAAATACATAAGGTACCGACCAAATTTAGGCCGATCGTACCTTGCCATTCTGCAATGCAGAACCCCGCTGCTAAATTCGTCTCAAAATATCTCAAACCCATAATAGAATCATCTCCATATATTCTTGGCGGGTCGAAGCAGTTAGCTCAGCTTCTTAATCAATTTAACGAGATATCAGGCAAACGTAAATTCTATATTGTCACCGGCGATGTGGTAGCTTTCTACCCCAACGTTCCTGTCGACAAAGGTATCGAGGCGGTCTTAGACCTATGGGACGAGCATTACGCTATTGATCCCGAACCTATTCCACGCCATATGCTCGAACTCGCATTAGAAGTTGCCTTAAATAACCTTATCGTCCAATTTGGCGAACAAACGTACAAACAAACCCGTGGCTTAGCCATGGGCGTAGCGTGCTCCCCCGATGTTGCAAACTTATTCGGGCATTTCCATGAAGCGCTCATTGTACCTAATCTTAACAAATTACTGTTCTATAGACGGTATATAGATGACGTGTTCGCATTAGTCGAAGCTAATTCAGAAATAGAAGCGTATAATTATATGCGCGATAATCTTGTTTTAGAAGGCTGCCAAATCGGTTGGGAAGTCTCTCAGCATCACGCTGTATTTTTAGACATGTTTGTGTATCGTGATCCATTCACTAACAACGTAGAACACATGCCTTATCGTAAGAGACTAAACCATTTCGAACGAATCCCCTGGGACTCAGCACACCCATATGACGTGAAGAAAGGCACGTTCATAGGTGAGCTAAGCCGCCTAGCCACTTTGTCCAGTAAAATAGAATACTACCGGACCGCGATCTCAGATCTATGCTGTGTTTACATATCGCGAGGCTATCCGGCATCGGTTATTAATAACTGGTCTAGACAGTACGCTACCAAAAAATGGGAAGCACGTCTATTGACAAGAGCGGTATCAGAGGATCCCATTCTTGTAGTCAAAACCGAATTTAATACCGCATGGGATTGGTTCAGCATTAAAAGCTTAGAGGATACCATTATGCATAAGCTAAATCGTTATAGGAACGATTTCGTGTCCGGTGTGTATGGGACGCAAAACACACCGGTGTACCAAGATAGATTGACCGAATGGCTCGTGCCCGCTCACGCTCCGGCTCCTGACGTACTCGAACATCTGGGCCTCCCACGGGAAGCACTTTTGATTAGGGACGTTAGTGTAGTAGGCGGCGTTAAAGCCGAGTCGGCCGCGATATTAGATCTTGGCAATTATGTAATGGGAAATGCAAGGTGGCTTGTATCGCGCAAAAGAACACAAAATTTTGCCGATCTAGCATCACTCTGGAGAAATTCCCTCCTCAAAATAGCATTAGAACAGGACGATTTTATTCCTCCTGTTGAAATATAGATATACACTTAGCGTGCGCGCCACAGCGAAGCCCTACGGAGGGTCCCTAAGTGCAGGTAACGCAACCATACGAACGAGGGTGAAGCTAAGTTCGAAAGTCCTCTCCGTCCGGCGGGTTTCCTCCGGGAGATTTGCCTTGCTTTAATGCAAAGGATGGCGGGCTAAGTGGTGAATTGACATCGACCAGAAGGGAGCTACTCCTACTGGGTTCAGTCATGCGCGTATGTTTACGCAACTTGTGCTGGCGGGCACTGTGCATAGTGGAGGTAACGGCTCCCGATGTGTGGTGACTTCCTATAAAGCTTAGCGCCGGAAAAGCGGCGCGGGTAGAAATCTATATATATTCTTTATCTAATTTTAATGCTTCGGACACTTTTAATGTTGTCTTTATACGTATGCGGTCATTTTTACGATATGACGCTAGGAGCCAGAGATGGCTGTACGGAACTGATCGGTTCCCGTACATGGCTTTTTCAAGGAAGCCCCCCTAAGCCTAACTAACTTAACCTAACTTCCTAAGCCCTAACCCTAACTAGCCTAACCGCCTTACGGTCTAACTAACCGTTGTTTAAAAATACGTAACGTTATTAATAGTTCTTCTATTCGTAATCAGGTCCTTGTGACAGATGTCACGTGACCGGTTGTCGTTCCGATATTTGTTTATGGAACTTCTATTACGTAATAGGTCTAGACCTTCGGTCCAGACTCGGATCAAACTATTTTTGCCTCTTACTCATTGTAGATTGTGTACGCCTGTTTACCTTTTTATAGAGTTTGACATCTGTGAGAGATTTTTAATGGCGGCCTTCGGCCACCTGCTGCGGCACTAAAAATACTTTTAGGCTTATTAACGTTGATAACATTATTAGACATGATACGATACTTCTTATCTTCGATAAACCTTCGTACTCAGACACATACTCCTCTCGAATATGTGTGTCCCCTCCTATTTAACCAGCTAGAAAACTGATGAGAGTACCATACTCGAAATACCACCTCAGACTACCTAGTAGCCGGGGGTATTTTTTCTAGTTTATCTCTTCAGTTACTTGTGCGCCCACCAGCGTTTTTACCCCCTAACCCTAACTAACCTAACTAACCCTAACTAACCCTAACCTAACTAACCCTAACTAACTAACTAACCCTAACTAACCTAACTAACTAACTAACCCTAACTAACCCTAACTAACTAACCTAACTAACTAACCCTAAAAACCCTAACTAACCCTAACACCGCTGGCAGATGAATGTGCATGGAAGTTCCTGGAACAATTCCTCACCACCGACATGACATACTCTCAGATGGAAGAAGCCCTTCTATCGTACCTCGGTGACCGATACTCTGCAGATGACTGGAAAGAAGCTCAAGATGCCTTGTTTTCCGGTGACAGCAATGACAGCATCGCACTGGGAAATCTTTGCGCAGTGAAGGCAAAGCATTTACCCCAGGCCTCCTCTAGCTCAGTGAACAGCTCTTCTGTGTCCACGTCTGCATTAAGGACAGACGGCCACTCTTCAAGCACACGCATTCAACAATTGTGTAGATGACCCAAAGTAAGTCACATATCATGTCTAATAATGTTTGATACTAAACAACACAAATAGTCGCATAATCCGTATCTCGACATCGAAGCAGGAGAAGAATCGGAGGAAGAATCGGAAGATGATGATGGTGGTGGTGGTGGTGGTGGTTGCCCCTCTGTTCAGTGGCAGAAGGCTACACACATCCCCGGACGATCGGCCATAGATAAGTTGGCCGTAGCCATTGATGACATCTTCAATCGGTATGAAGAGCACGCGCCCACCTCGTCAGGAAATCGCGTCCCTGGCTCGATCCCCTTAGCCTCGCTACAACTGCCGGCAGCCAAAAGCAGAATGTATCTGCTCCATGTTCAAAGTAAGCACATTAATTTTGAATGACGTGACATATTACTGATTAACGTAGGAACTGCCGCGGAATACATTCGTAGTCATCTTCGTAACCAAGGATTTCCTGTTATTGCTTCGGCATGGGTACCTGGCCAACTTTATGTGGTCGCAGACAGCCCAAAAACTATTTCAGAATCACTTCCTATCTCACACAGTCTCGCCATGAAACAATATATTCGCATCTTGCAGGAAGAATGCGAAGCAGTGGAACGTCCACGTTCCAAGCTTCCCAGTCCAGCGTGGGTGAGGATTACGTACAGCAAGTATAAGGGTGACATAGCATATGTCTTTGATTCCGATTCATCGAATGATTTCGTCGAAGTCCTAATTCCTCCACAGGACTTCCCCTATCCCATGCCCCGCGGATCTGTAGCACTACTCGACTGATCTCGCCTTCCGAATCCGAATAGTCAGGCAGTGTCCGACATCATTTGTGATGACAAAGTTATAGGATGGAGATACAAAGGAGAAAGATACTACATGGGTCTTCTGCTGAAGCCATTTGACCGTGATCGTGTAGAAATTGTCACAACCCCTCATGCAGACGAGATTCAGCTGTATTTACAATCCGGG